TTGGTTTAGTATGCAGGACATTCTTCTAAAGTAATTGGACAACTGATTGTACCAGAAAACAGACTTGAGAGACTTCTTTGGCCAATGAGCAGAGACTGTGTTTGTGTAATGATCAATAATGTCCAGTACAGGAAGGAAAACAGTCTTGTATCCATCAGTTCCATACAGTGGCACAGTTTTTGGAATTAAAACATTATGCACTTTTTTTAAATCTCAAACAGGGAACTTTATATCCTTCTTAATCTTCCTTTGCTTTACTCCCTGCTTTAAAATACCTTCCTAAAATTGTGAGAAGGACTGTGAGGAAGATCTGTGGTACCTAACCGAGCTAGAATTAAGGCAAAGCACTGTATTGCGGTCCTGTTTACAAGTTGTTACAATGAGCAGTAGGGGTACCTAGGCTTCACCAAAGAGGTACTTTATTATTATTTTCTGAAATACTATGGTGCCAGTTCAAAAATAAATTTTTGCCGGGAAGCATAATGTCTAATTATTGCTTTCTTTAGATAGAGCAGATGAAAGTCTTACATCATTAAGATGACAGCAAGTTTTCTTTTAAGAAGCAGCACTATCATCTGAAGTAAATATACTACTACATTTAGAAGACTGTTAATCTCTGCTAGGTTATGTCACGTTCTTTCTAAGGTTTACTGATAATCCATTTCATGGCTAGTAGCTGCTCTTTTTCAGTCACGCCATGAAAACAGTCACTTGTGAAAAGGAGCACTCACTCGTCAACTTCCATAGGTATTGTCATGTTTTACTAACAATAGATTAATCAGCATACATAGGATTGCCTTGCAGTTGCATAAATCATGTGTATATAGTGAACGTTGCATAAATATACTTGCAGATTGTTTTTAATTTAATTGAAATAAAGATACAGATATGTTCGGCTGACATACTTTAAATCATTACACAGGCAAACAAACAAATCAGGTTTTCAGTTAAGCAGTGAAAGGGACAAAAGCACATATTGTGGTACGTGTTTTTACTAGTTCAGTGTATCTATTTTAGTAATCAGACTCTAAAGAGAAGTGAGTTCTGGCGTGTGTTACAGAGTAATAATTCAGTAATATTTGAGAAGCTGGGTTATTCCCAAAGTGAATTATTATACGTTATAAAGCTTCCCACACTTCCTGTATGACACCTGTTAGAAAAATTTGAACGTATATTAATCTTTACACAAGGTTTCTGTGTCCAAATACACATGATGGAACATGTACTGGTATAAACATCATGACATGGATTATCCATAAACCTGTGTACTGCTCTTCAACTCTAGAAAACACTGTGACAGTAATGCATGGCAGTTATTGAAGAAAAGCAGCTCTATAATCTCCACTACAGTATGTATGTGAAGTGTAAAGTGTCTCATCTTCAGTTAGCACGGCTCATGGGCCGAAGCAAAATTCTATCCCATTTCCTCTTTGGAAGAAGAATGCATTTCAGCATCCTGGAAAGCTGTATCACTAGAGATGGTGTTAGTTGAACAGTGATGGAAATCACCTTTGTTAATGCTTTCTGCAGTGCCCCTTGATCCTTTAGTGTGGTCATTAAATTTCAGGTGTTCTGATTTCAACAAGAATGGCAATTTTAAATGTTGAAATTTAACAATGTCAGTTGTATACCTTCTTTGATGTCTTTAACAGTGTAGTTTTGAAACATTTTCCTGGCAAAAAGAAGAACAAATGAAGATCTTTACATTTTGGCTTCAGAGGAGAGCATCATATGGGAGCTTTGTAAAAACCCTCAAGCTACAGGGAGCCATAGTTCAGGTTATTGTTCTTTGGATATAAACACTATGATGGGCAAACTGTTGGCAACATTACCCAAGTTATTAGCTCATCAGTGTGTTACCAGGGAAAACTCCTTAAATTTAGACTTTTTGAACTGTCTTCTGCATACTCATTTGTCTGTGCTTGCAGCTGAGGCAGACCAGGCAGAAGGAATGATCCAGTGGTTAGGTTGCTCAGCTAGGAGGAGAGGCCTCACATGGATCCTGCTAATCAGATTTCATGAATGTCAGCAGGTCTCCATTTCCCTTTGTGAAATGGGGAACATTTCACATCTTTGTGGTTGAGAATAAAAGTGCATTACTGGTGTGATACAACTGCTGATAATGGTCACATTGAAGAACATAACTTGAATGTGCTTTGGAGCCCACCAGAATAGGTCAGTCACAGTGCACAGATCATGGTGTTGACTCAGCTGCAAATAGGAAAAACAGTGACACAATGCTGCAGGGAGCTGTGGAGCACTAGGAGGAATGCTGACATGCTTGCAGGTGCTGCGTGGCATGGGGAGGTGTGAGCACTATGAGCTGAGTTGTCCCTGTTTGTGGTGTCATTGCTTTGAACCTGCTGAGAATGTGGCAAAGGTTAAGATAGTGTTGGTGGTAAGAACTGGAGTTAAACTTCATACGTGACAGATACTTGTGATACACTGGAAGATACTAAGATCTCCTAGGGAGCTGGGTAGTTGAAGTTACAGTGGTGTGTGTGCTCATGGGGGTTTTTTGTGCAAGCTCACATGTCTGTTGACAGAAGCAGCAGAAGGAGTAAAGGAGGTGGAGGAAGGAGCTGAAGAAATACAACAGTGAGCTTCAACAACATGACCTTGATGAGAAGCCTAAGGAGTGAATCAGCTGAGTGCTGGGTAAGAGTCTTGGAACCACGTGTATGGAAACAGTCTTTTGACATGACTGTGTGCAGGGAAACAGGATTTTGTCAGTAATGTTGCCTCAGAAAGGCACCTGAGAAATGTGTTTCTTTGGATGGATGAAACCTTATGCTGATTCAGTGCAAAAGAGACAACGGCATTATTTAAAAGCAACATTTAATTGGTACAGGAAGAAAAATAATCCAGATCACACACATACACGAAAGGTGGAGTTGAATCAGATCCTGCAAGAGGTTGTGTATTTGTGTGTGGTGCTAAGCATCATTCAGTCATTTTATTTACATTTGCAGATTCTGAGCAGGTACAAGGACATCTCAAATGGTAAGTATAGGCCTGGAAGTAAGAACTCATACAGGATCAGAAAGAAAGAACCATCAGTCCTGACCATGCCTTAAATCACTAAAACAGAAGCTAAAATGGACAGCATTTTACAAGCAAAGGTCTGCCACTTTGGAAGGATTTCCTCACCCAGGACATGTTAGCAGGTAGGTTTCCCCCTTTGCCCTCTTTCCGTTTTGGCATCTGCCCGACAAGTGTAAGGAGCAAATTTATTGTATGAATAGATGTCATTATATACAAGACCAAAGACACAAGGATCAGAGCCCTTGACTGCATCAGTGCATTACAGTGGAAACTCTTCCATATTAACTCTGGTTCCATGGACAAAGAAATAGGTTTGCCTAAGGCCTGTTCTTTTGCAGACAAACAGGCTTTGCTGATGCTTTGGTTACAAGTATCTCCCTCTTCTTACATACTTCTGTTCTGGCCCTGGACTGTGACTGAAAGCTGCAAAGTCCTAGGGAGTGTCTTTGTGATATGGCTGGTCAGTGTGGAGTGGTCCTGACTGGAAAGGCCTAGGGAATTTGTTACTCAGTGAGGATGTGAGGAAGAGGGAAAGACATGAAAGTTGGTTTTTGTCATTAAAAATCCTAAATTTAAAAAAAAACAAAGCCTCCCAGAATAGTTTACAAAAGCTGAGGGGAGGGGGCTGTGTGATACTTTTTTCCTCTTTGTAAGGAGAAGTGGATTTTTGGAAACCATTTTGGGTCCAGTAAATTCTGTGGGGCAGATGTCAGCTAAAACATTTTAATTTCTGAGGTTTTCTTGATCACTTCCTTGGAATGTTGGGAGAAAGGATGGGTTTTGTCTGGTTTAGGTGGGATAACCCTTTTCACACACACTTCTTCACCTCCACCAGAGGGGGGAAAGCAGCTGGTAGTTGCACATCAGTCAACACCATGGGAAAGCTTTAGGCCCTGCATCTGCAGTCGGTGTTAGCCACTGTAGCCAAGGACATCCCCGTAGTGCTCCCACTGCCAGGAGAGCCATGCAGCATGATGGGTGCTCTTCTCTTGGCACCAGATTCAGTCACCCTTGCACTGCTGTTGGAGTCCCAAGCCCCTAATCTCAGTCTTGCATATTTCCCGAGTTGTTGCTCTTGGCCCCACAGAGACAGTTCACAAGTCTTCAGGTGAAGCTGTTCGTTATGACTAGTGTCCCAACCCTGTCAAGATAAGGTGATGAAACCACATTTCCTCTTGAGACTGCCCTTAGCATGCCCCAACTTCAGCTAACACCACAGTCCTGTGCCAGTGGTGCTCTTGCTGCTGGGGTGTGACATGGATGTTGTACTAGATGGTTGTATTTGTCTTCATACTTTAACAAAAGCTATAGTCTTCTGCAGAGAATGGTGTTGCTGAGGGTTTGCCGTGTCGAGATGTGATGAGGGTGGCATTTGGCCTTGTGGGAGGAAGATGATCTTTGCACAGGAAGAAGAGCTTGTGACTTTGAACATGGGGCACCTTTGATTTCCTTGCCCTAGTGCCTCAGTTTTAGTTAGAAGTATTGCTCCAAAACAGGGTGCTCACATGATGGGGCTTGTAAGGTGATGTCAGGCCAAAGAGAGTTGGCAAAAGAGTATTTCAGGTGTATTACAGACCAGGAGCCAGGACACTGGTTGACTGTCAGTATCTGCATCAGTTCACAGTGGGGATAGGGTGGAGAGGAGTCTTCATCTCTTGTGGCAGGCCCTGGGCTCAGCCTGCATCACCTGCCTGGAGACAGAGGCGATTCCAACAGCAGGAGCAGAGGTTCATACAGCAGGAGGCAGTTAATTAAACAACACCATAAAAGGTGAAGGAGGATTCTGGGGAGTAACAGAAGTCCGAAAGAAAGGATGCTGCTGATTAAGCAGTGCAAAGCCAAGGTGCTTCCGCTTAGACCTTCTCAAACAGCAGGGTAATGTGAGCTGCTGTCCTGGAAGACATCTTTAGTGGTGGGTTGGGGTTGTTTGGGGTGGGTTGGTTGTTGGGTTTTTTTTGGGCGGCGGATGAAAGTGGAGAATAGAAGGGATTTCAGGCTTCAGGCCAGGATGCCAAGGCTGCAGAGGTAACCCCGCTATTGTGGGGTGAGCCCAAATTAGACCTGGCTTGAATTTGGAAGAGCGAAGATGTATGGCAAATCAAGCAGCACTGGGGGATGAGGGGGAGGAGAAGATACAGGGATTTGGCCAAAGCTTTCCAAAACTTTCTGAGGAAAGTTCAGTCAGGCAGGGGTGAAGGCTAGCAAGTTCCTGTACTTACTGGACCTGCTGGCTGAGCTACACTTCAACCCATAGCCTGGCCCTGCCCTGTGCTAAGAGCAGGGATGCGTTTGTAAGGCAATTGTGACAGTCTCCTCTCCCTCACCCCTCCACCTACTGTGTTAGTAAAGGGGTACTTGGGGCCTTGCTGTCTGCCTCCACCCTCGGGGACCTGGGGAAGCACTGTTGCACTTAGGCTGTGGCCTGCCTTTCCTGGGGCTGCTTATTTCTTTTTGAAGAGCTTGCGGAAGGAGCTCCGGAAACCCCCCTTGGGCTCGTGCCGTGGGTTGTGGTCGCTGAAGGATGTTTGCTCATTGTCATCCTTCTGGCAGAACCTGGTGTTGTCTTCTGCATGGAGCTCCTAAAAGGGAAAAGACAATTTAACCAGCATTTGCAACCTCACATCTTTGTCCCCTTCTCTCTTTCTCTCTGTGCTAGGAGGGACCTGGTGGGTGAGGAGGTGCTGGAAAGGCTGGGGTCACTCAGGCCTCGGCAGCACTGGTAGCCTCTGGCAGCCTCAGGCAGCACTGGTACCTTTGCAGAGAGCTTGTTGCTGGCCCTGAGGCTGTGGCAGAGGACTGGAAAGATAAGCATTGTTAGAGGGAACTGGAGCCTTCCTTCCTAAGGTTTTTGTTTACGGGAGCTTACTAGCCCCTTTTGCCAACAAGGGAGCAAGTCAGCACGGGCAGTTGAAGGAACTTCCCACCCTTTCCTTGCTGTTTACCCTAGGGCAGGGAGGCTTCAGGCTTCTTGAGCTGGTATGTTGTGAAAAACTCTTCTGTTTGCTCTGCTGCTGCCTGGTTATGTATCTGTGGGGCAGGAGGCTTCATCAGCACACACACCTTGTGGTGAATGTGCCACTAGAAGATCTCTCCGCCTTGCTGAGTCCCTCTCAGCAAGGCTCTGGGCAGGTCCCTTTCTCCAGTTCTGCCTACCACTGCCATGGTGATCTCCTTTGCTCTGAGGGGAGAACATGTCCTACAGTTCTGGATTAGCTCCACATCTGCATTCTGCTGTGGGCCATAGCACTGCACAGGTGAATGCCACAGAGCTCACAGGCTCCTTTTTTAGGGAAAGAATGGACATGGACAGGGGGATGGATGGGGGACACGGGCTGTATCCCCATGGCATTTATCCTTCTAACTGATCTCCCTTGCTCAGCCATCCATGACCTGTTTCATTCAGTAGGCTTTTTCCTCTTTTCTTTCAATGTTTCTTTGCTGTCTTCTCAGTCAGGCTGTTGGAACCATCCTCCCATCATCACCTGCATCTACAGCCTCACCTGCGCCTTGCCTCATTTTAACAGGAGGCTGTTTCTCTACGCAACACAGAGAACCAGCAAAGCACTTCACAGCACCATAAGCCTCTTCCACAGGATGTGTGAAAGGCATCTTCCCCCTCAACTGTGTCAGCTCAAAGCTGACTCTGAACAGGCGCTGCAGGCTACAGAAACACTCTCTGCAAGATGTGGTGTCCTGGAGGCCAGGAATGCCACCTGCCATGTCCCATCTAAGAGACGCTATCGCTGGGGTCTTTCTGTTTTCACACAGGTTTTAGCAAGGATCTGATCCATGCAACAGACACAGGTGAAACGAAACCCATGGACCAGATCCTTTCTGGTGTAAAGGCTGAGTTTGTCCAAGTCATGCTGGTTTACACCGGCTGAGGATCTGATACTAAATCCATTGCTTTTCTTAACCCAGCACTCCTCACAGAAAATAGAAAGGCACCTTTGTAACTGGGTGCCACCCTATAGCGCTGATTTCAAACAGCTTTGCACGTATGTAGTGACCCTGATCAGACACAGGATTTACTTGTGGGGGAAGCTCAGTGACAGCTAGAGGCACATGGGAGACTAGCTTGTCCCAAGGTTGTTCTAACTGTCACTCAGCCAGCTGTGTGCCTCAAGCCCACGCTTGTCCCTGGGGAAGATGTGTGTGAAAAGGAGCTCTCTTGCACCTCCCTTGGGCATGTACATGCAGATGAGCACTTTGAATATGTGGACTGGGAAGCTATTTTGGCATGTTCTGCCCTAACTGCATCTCAGATCTTTCTCCCGCTGCTGCTTCTGCATCACCACGTGCCTTTCTTTTTTCCTCCTGCTATTTATGCCTCCTTACTTCCAAAAAGCTCTGTTTTTCACCCGCTCCTCTCTGTGGGGGGAAGTAGCTCCTTTGGGAGCTTCGAGATGAGGCTGAGATCATGTGAGGCTGGACATTCCTCTCCTGCTTCTGCTGCAGGCGGCTCCCGCTGCTGCTCCGTGTGCTGTAGAGCCTGGTGCTCACACCCTCAGCGCTCCTTGGCAGCTCCTTCAGAGACCTGCTCAGCTGCTTGCCTTTGCTGTGGAACATCTCACGCTTGTAAGTACTGCTGCTTACAGGAGTGCAGCTCTTAGGCAATGGCTGTAAGGCATGATCTGTCCTCTCTGGTTCTGATGTGAAGTTAACGGGCCTAAGGAAGCAAATGTCTAAGCTGGACTCGGAAGAGGCTGGGGAGCAATTCTCAAAGAGAGCAATGTTTTGGAAGGCATCATCTTCATAGGGTCCTGGCAGGGTGAAAACCTCCCCAGGGTAGTCAAACTCTTCATAGCTTGGTGCAAAGTTTCTCGCGTCCTGCAGCAGCTCCACAGAGGTCCTGATGGCTCTGTCAGTGTTCCCCACTGCATCAGCTGGTGGTGCTTCATACTCCATTTCAGGGATAGATTGTAAAGGGGCTGTCAAAGCCTTGAGTTCCTGCTCTGTGAGCTGGGAGGATGCAAGGATGTTCTCCGGCCTCTCATGTTTTCTGCTTTCCATTTCCCAGTCAGGGGACTTTACAGCCTGGATGTTCTCCATCACGGTTGGCTGGGGTTTCTTCATCTGCGGCATCAAATGCCTTTAAAACAAAAAACAGAAGGGGTGGAATGCTACAGGATGACTGAGAGACAGCATGACAAGCCTCCCTCTCCGGGGGGGCCCCCCCCCCCTTTACTTGCTTCTAAGGCTAAGAGGAATTTTCATATCTTGGGGAACAGTAACAGAGCTGCCATTAACAGAAATTGCCTGGTTGGGTTAGCAGGAGAAAACTTGCACGGGTAGAACTGCTTATCCAGTAGCTTTAGCTGACTTGTGTACTGCACACCATGAAATGAATAGAAACTGAGATGAGAATCCAACTGCTCCATCCCTCTCCTGCTTATCAGGATTTTTACTTCCATTCTCTTGCTGTAGGTTGGCCTGGGTAGTATATTGAGGAGGAGGCTAGGGATTGATCTAATAACACTGCCACTTAGGGGGACTCAGAATCATGAAGCCAAACTTCTTCTTAGTGTCAGATAATGTAAGGAAGTGCAACAGCCACAAATTGCTGACATTAAAAAAAAAGGCAAATCTAGTGTGCTTCTCTGATCATCATCTCATATCAGTAGGCTAGAAATGGCCAAAGATTGCTGGGTGCTACCAGTAATCCTGTCTTGAATTAGTCTTCTGTCTATTTGAACCCATTTGTACTTGGGTCTTGTGATGGTGAGTCACATCATTCAGTGATGTGCTATGTGCAAAAGTGGGGTTTATTTGCTAGTCTGAGACTTTGGTCATGTTCCCCAATTCTTGTAATGCTGGCAGTGAATAACGTAGTGTTACTGTGCACATCACTGCCAGGCCTACACAAATGCATGTCCTCCCTGGTTACACTGTTAGGACAGCTAGCAAGAACACGGACAGCCCTGGGTTGTTTCTGAAATGTTTCCTGCTTATACACCACATGGGAGTGGATAGCAGGAGGGAGACAGCCCTTCATCTCTCTATGCATCCACAGGGAGTAATCCTGGAAATGACAGTCTGTAACTGCTTAGCGTCCCAGGTGTAGTATGGGCCAGGAGAGAGGTTTCAGCCTACTTTCAATGCCTTCTACTAGGACAATAGGCTTACGGGGTTGTGGTGCCAGAGGAAGGTGCTGGTGGGAATGACTGTATTGTCTCTTCCGAATGGATCCCACTGTCCCGGATAGATGCCGCACTGGGTGTTGGAGAAACCTCTTGGCTCGTACACTGGGAGGTAAGACCTTTGTACAGCTTCACCAGGGATGACCTGAGGGAGGAGAAATCCATCGTCGTGCTAAGAAATAAGGCAGGGAATGAGCACGAGCATGTAGAATCACAGAAAACAGGGCTGGGACGGACCTTAATATTCCCGTTCACCTCTTCCCACCCAGCAGAAGAACCTGTTCCACCTAGTCTGTCCCACTCAGCAGGGCATCCTGCTCTCTGTCCTGTGCTTAATGCCTCTCCTGACAGCAGTCCCTCCCCAGCAGTCTGCTCCATCCCTTTATCACCCTCCATATTCAGCATCTTCTCTTGAAGTTTGGTCTTGATCTAATTCCCCAGTGAATCATCACAAGGAGCAAAAGCAAACAGATTTTGATTTTAGTCCAAAGTCTTGATTTCAAGGAACTCTTCCAAACCACAGCTTGAGAATCTGAATTCAGGGTCATTTCTATCTGTCGTGGTTTAAGCCCAGCCAGTAACTCAGAACCACGCAGCCACTTGCTCACTTCCCCCCTTCCATGTCAGACTTCCCCGACACCTCCCATTCCCTGGTGATAGAGAGAATGAGCTGATGTTGTGCTTACTTCTTCAGCTTTTTCCTCTTCTGTATAAGGAGGTCTTCATTGCATTGGAAGAGGAGACTATAGTGTGAGATGAAAACCCGGAGGCGCTGCACACACACCAGCAGCAGGTAATAGTCAGGATGCTCTTGGTCCGTGAATTTCAGGACATTCTGGGCATAGAGGAGAGCAGGCTGTTTGGAGGGTGTTTCTGAACCCTTTCTGGGGAGAAGGTCCCATTGGGACCATGGATTAGTGCTCTGGAGTGCCCATGGCATTTCTCTGTGGGAGCATGGTGGGACCTTTTCTAGGCAGTGCCAATTTCTGAGGGACTTGGATGGGGCCTGCCTCCTCATATACACACGTAACCACTGTAAATGTTATCATGAGATGTGTGGGTGATGCATTAGTTGAGTTTAGCAATGGATGAATAAACTGATCTCTATTTTTATAGGGCTTGCTTTGTCTGTGTTAGTACAATTCAGATAATCCTCCTGTGAACCAGAACTCTTTTTATCAGCAAGCTCTTTGTAGGAAAGATTGTTGGATCTGAGGAGCCTCTAGCCGCCTTAGTCTCTCAGCTAACAGGCCTGTGGACCACTTAGCAAAGAAGCCAGCTCTGTTACAGGAGTTAGTCAGAGCTCACAGTAGGTGTGCCCCATCTCTGGCCTCTTGCTTTCCGAGAGCAGCAGGCAGCAGAGCTTTTGACTTCCCAGGGGACAAAAGTTGGTTCTGTCAGGCCAAAGGGAGAAACTGTCAAATAGAAGCAAGCTTCAGGTGAAAATAATGAAAATTAAGCCACTTTCAGTTGACTTTCCCTTTCAAGAGTTTTTTGTTTTCAGAGAGCCTACTGGGTTAGCCAGAAGCCCTGAACCTGTACCAGCCTGAATACCAACTCTTGAGTTAAAAGTCACGTGTAGTAGTAAGAGTTCAACAAGACAGTTTCCATCCTGGGGCCCTACCTGTAGATGAATAAGGTATTCAGGGATTCGCTGGACTATATGGAAGAACAGAATGTAGAGATCAGACTTGATTTCTTCTTCTACCTGAAATAGAGAAAGCAACTTTAGAGTCTCTCCCACCCATAAAACATGTCTGCTTCTAAATGGTTCTGGGATGTAGTGAGTAGTTGTGCTGTAAGTAATTACGACAGTTCACAGGAGCACACCAATCAAGTGGCAGTTACGTGTGATAATGCATCTTGCTTCTGGAAGGATGTTTGCAACTCCTTCCACCAGCAATACTAGTCCTAAGGATGAAACCCTTAGGTTGAGTGTTCCTCACAGATAATCCCCAGCATAATTAAGTAGGGGTGTATGTTTAATATCCACTAGTGAAGTTTCATTGGAACTCCAGGTAGAAGCTGTTGTTCAGAATTAATTTCTTAGTTTAGGCTCAGATAAACTGAACAAAATTGAATTGATTGACTTCTAAATTAGGATGTCTTGGAAGCAACTTAGTGTAGTTTAGTTACTGTACTTTAAAACTACCTTTATATTTAACTTTCCTGATTTAAACTAAGAATCAGGGGTGTGAGACCAGATACTGAATCCGAACAGCAGAGGCTGTTTTCTCTCTAAGGCGCTTACAGCCTCACTCTTGGTCTCCCTGTTTGGATGAGTCCTCCGTTTTCCAGGAGACAGTGACTGGGTAGCATGTGTACAGACAAGCCTTCTGGGAGGTTTGATTTGTGACATGTCGTGTGACAGCAAAACCATCTTTGGTTACACACAGTAATGAGCACGTTAAAAACTTCCTATTGTAGGTGCATGCCAGCCACGGCAACCTTGTGGAAACTGTCATTTAGTAACAGAACAAGTGGATTGGCAGAAGAGCTGTTTTGTGGGCCTGCATAACATGGAAAGATCCAGGCTTGCATGTTGCCATTACGTGTCTGTGAAGCAGTCAGGAAGTTTACCTCCTTTAGGATCACCACATGGATCAGAGAGATGCATTCTGGCAGGTCCCTCAGGTAAGCAACGTAGTAGTCCAGAAAATTATTCTTACAGAAAGAAAAAAAGAAAAGAACAAGGAAAATTAAGAGACATTTTTGGTCATAGAGCCAGCCAGAACATGAAACTGTTGGTCCTTCACTATTACTCCTGGGAGCTCATCACGCTAACTGCATGAAGCTTTCAGACCTTGGGACTTCTCAAGAAAGGCTATTTAATAAAACTAATTCAGCTGTTGAGCATAGTTTGTAACGACTTATAGCAGATGGGAGAGGTACAGAGACTGGGGAGCAAGAAGCTTTCCTTAAGGCTCTTAAAATTTATAAAGCATCAGATAAGTTTTTACACACCCTTCCAGGAGAGGTCCCACTGCTTGCCAGGGCTTGAGTAGACCTTAACCCTGAGAAGCAGGTATTGTTTTACTTGGGGCTAGAAACTATATAGGATTAGGGGCCTGCCCACCCACTTGTCGTAACTGAGCTAAGTATTAAGCAAGGGGAGCATAAGAAATACACTCTTTTCACACTGTCGCTGTAAATAGAGATATCTGAGCTGTACAGGCTCCTATGTAGCTTTTGCAACCAAGTCTAGGTCTTGTGCAATTATTATAGGGCTGTTCTATGCGGCTGTATGCCCACAAGTGAATCTGGGGTGGGGACTCCCTGAACAACCAAGTGGTCCAACACAGGGACTGCCATGCACTGGGACTATGCTCAGAGGAGGCTGAAAGGTCTTAGTCTAGCCATGGCTTCACAGCACAGCCCCTCTGCTGCAAGGTATCTTGGGCCATCAGCACCCCACCATGAGTCATAGCAGAAGACTCCATAGAGGTCTGTAACATACCTCATCATTTGTTAATTTCAGGAAGATGTCTCCTAGAATTCCTTGTCGTGGCCAGCTCAGGACTCGCTCCTGCAGAGCGTGAAGTAAGTCGACATGCTGCTGGACCAGGTACCGCAAAGAGTTGGGGAAGAAGCTGAAGGGAGACTGTATCAGACTGGTTACACAGAGCAGAAGCTCAGCCCTAAGCATGGACTGCTGAAGTGTGCATTCATGGGTGCTTCAAACACAGGTATTTTTAACTGCTTTTGTTGGAGTCCCAGCTGCACCAGGAAGCCCCGTTTTGGCTGCTACATACATGCAGGTACCCTCTCCAGTAGGCTATTATTACAGTGTTTTGAAGGTTTCGTAGGCTGACTCTCCAGTGTGTTGTATAGCTGACCAGAATTTGTAGAACTAAAAAGTCCAAGGCCATGCTAAAGTCCAAGGCCATGCTAAAGTCCAAGGCTAAAGAAGCAGGACCATGGTCCTGAGCCATCCCATAGAGTGCTAGGAGGGGAGCTCCACAGCTTTGCATGTTGTTTAATTTGTCAGGCCTGTCAAAGCCACCCCTTTGATGTAGAGCTACTGCCTTGCTGTCATTTCATGCTGATTTCATTGAGAATCAGAATGAAGATGTCAAATATCAAAATATTTTGTCAGATGGAAAGGTTCCAGGGAAAAAGAGTGAAAATAAAAACTCACTTCAGACTATCATGTTTCAGTTTGAAGTGTATGTGTCACCTAACTGCTTAAACAAGCCTACAGCAACCCATGTACAACACGTCCCACAGCGGACTTCTGTCAAATGACTCCTTGGATGTGGGAGGCATGTGAAAGAATAGGAGGCTGATGGGACTCCAAAGGAGACTGAAATGAAGTAGTAGTGAAATGATTTGAGATGCGAGGTAGACAGAATGCAAGGACAGGCAGAAAAGTCTTCAATCACAGTAAAAACTTTCAGTACCTGCAGTTTTCGACTAGAAATAAGCTCTAAGTGTTCAAAGATGAAAGAAAAGTGGGAGAAAGTATGATGCAGAAAGAAGGTTGACTGAAAAAATACTAAAAAGAGAGAGCAAACTAAATCAAATACCTTCTCTCTTTAGTGCTCCTTTTCACATCTGGTCCTTGCAACGTGGCCTTGATCTTCAGGATTAGGGAAAGGTTGATGACATATTTCCTTTCTGACTCCAGCAGCTCCAAAGCGATGTTCTGCCTTTTGGCTTCCAGAAGATAATAGTTAAGTTTAATAACAAGCAAATGCTGACCTCAGGGACAGCCTCATGTTAGACCTGTGATCTGACATTAAATCATGAAAGTAGAAACTGTCAAAAAGTGATACCAATGTCTTGTCTTTGTGTGTTTATTTTCCCCAAAATATAAAATTCTAGCCTGATGCTACAGCATGCCCCAGACGTGACTTGGAGGCACGGTTTGCTAAGAAAGCTCCAAAGCAAATATGTTTTCCCCTGTGAATACCAGTTTTTTGAAGAAAAACAAAACAAGCAATCAAAGGTAAAGCAAATCATACTGGGGATTCACATCCACTTTCGTAAAGCAAATCATACTGGGGATTCACATCCAGTTTTGTAAAGCAAATCATACTGGGGATTCACATCCACTTTCATAAAGCAAATCATACTGGGGATTCACATCCAGTTTCGTAAAGCAAATCATACTGGGGATTCACATCCACTTTCGTAAAGCAGATCATACTGGGGATTCACATCCAGTTTCCTGCACAATGAGAAGTTGTATTTTTCACCCACTTCAGCAACTGCACTGTCACAATCCCATCACTACTCCAAACCTGCCAAGTCCTGGAAAGAAGAATGGATGTCCTGAGTGCAGAGCAATTCTGTCAACAGCACAGACCAGTAAATACAAAGGCCAGAAGTCTTAGAGACTGGGGCCCTCACAAATTCCCCCCCTAGCAGGAGAAACTGGCTTGTGTGTCTCCCTCTGTACAAGCTGATTACTGACCAGCTCACACCAGATCTGAATTTGAGCCTCTTTATCCCGAGTTTTCCATTCTGTCCTTACCAGCCAAAGAGGGTTCACATATAATGTTGTCAGCTGAGCTGTATCTGCTTTGGCCCATGTCTTTCCCTCTCTCTGGTTGCTCTTTTGAAATGTATTCATCTCCCCAGTCCTTGGTGTCCTTGGGCTGCTTCCACACTGTTGATGGCAGATGCACTTTTGGCTGCCCCTCTGTTGTCAAAGGTGGCTTCAGGCTGTCATCTGTCTCTATGGGTGCTCCTGCCATGACAAGCAGCTGAATGGATCTTAACATCTCAGTTAACAGGTTATGCTACAGCAAGCAGCTAAGCTGCATTATCAGCCATGTGAAGTACTGGAAGGAGAGTCAGAAGCATCCTCTGTGCTTCACAGGGGCTATAGCACTTTATTGTTGATTTACAAACAGAAGTGCACTTGGCAAGCACATTGGCAGAACAAGGTTTGCACTCTTCCAGCATTTATTTTCAGGCCAAATAAGGTATAAAATCAGATGTGTTTAGAAAAGAAAAAGCATATATTCCAAGTATGGTTGCACTTGAGGGTTTTGGGATACATCAGGACTTGGTAATATGGCAGGTATTGTAGAAATAGGAAGTATTATTATAATTCGGACTTAAATGCCATTCTTACTGGATGTAAACTGTCATGGCTCTTAAAATGGTTTTAGTGTGATGTGATTATACAGCAGCAGCAGGACTCAGTCTGAGGCTATTAAATCACAGAGAAAGTAGGGGAGGGAGCAGGTGCATTAGAGCTGGAATTGCTTTAATGCAAATGATTTTAATTTGGGTTGCAATAAACCATTGTTCTCTTTATTTTCAAGTGGATTCCAGCAAAAGAGCCATCCAGAACACTGAATGCTTCTGGTGAACAGTGCAAACCCCTAATGGTTGTTCTCTTATGTCCTTTTGCTGGCCAGGATCCTTAGTGTCCCCTTACTACACCCTTCTCTTAGTTCTGAACAATTCTTATTTTTGCCAGAAAAACTCCTCTGTTAACATTCAGATGCCTGCAAGGAATCTGGAAGCTGGTGTGTGAACAAACACCTCACCAGTTCTACTGGGTGTGTAGTCACTGCAGAAACCATCTCCTCCCAAGTGACAAAATGGCACACTTGTTATTCTTTGCCACATTGATAAGCCTCAATTCTTCCTTTATGCAAAAGCACTTAGAACATGCGAAATCAGCTGCAGAAAGGCTTTTCCTGCCAAATAGCAATCATTTGTGTCTTCTGTCAAGTATTGGGCACTTCAGGACTCAGGTTTGCTCTCCTTTTCAACAGCGAGCATGAAAATGAAGGCACATGACAAAGTGAAAGACATCCCTTTGAAATGTGTTCCCTGAAAGCATTTCTTCTGTGCAGTGAGGCAAACACTCTCGCTGAATCATTGCCCTGCTGGGTTTTGACAGTTCGAGGTTTTCCTACCTGGACCTCCTACAACTTTCACGCTTCCTTCTCCCATTGGCATGATCCTGGTGTCAGACACTGTTGAAGAATGAAGAGAAACTTTACAAGAGCAGGCTTCCTCCTCCCAAGCCTAGTCACTAGGGTTAGATCCTCCAGTCTTTCACATTTTTGCTATGCAAACCCCCCTGTTAGATGCTCTGCTAAGGAGGATCTTTACTATTGTGGCTCTTGTTGTGGTCTTTGTTTCAGTAGCACCTGCAGGCAGGCTAAGGTAGGATACCTGCTGTGCTTGGTGCTGTATGACTGCAGAGGAACATGAGCAGTCTTGGCTCGTCCTTGCTCAGTAGGTGTGTGTTGGGTAGAGGCACCTAGCAGGCAGAACGAGGCCTGACACGGAGGCACAGCTGCCATTTTGGGTGGAAAGGAGCTTACTGAAGAGTGGAGGGGTGAGATGATTGGAAAGAAGCAGGCAGTGGGAGAAGTGGGTGAGAGATGTGCAAGATGTGGATGTGCAAGAGGGATATCAGGGAGAGGCTAACATAGGATCTCAAAGTAGGGCAGAGGGGGGCCATGACTGGCCAGATTCTGAACAGAACAGCAGAAAACAGCATATGATTTTTATCCAATCTCTGCCTTTGCTGACTTTTTAAGTGTCAGACCAGTCTCTGTGATCCTCCTTTCTGTGCTCTGCTCCCTTACATGGAAACAAAACCATGGATTGCAGGATTTTTTACCGGGGCTCCTACTTGGCTCTGTGTCCATGCCACTAGCATTACAGGGAAGGTCCAGCCTGCTTCCATTTCCCTGGAGGAGGCAAGCAAGGAATATTTTGGGACAGTGTTCACAGAGCATCATCTTCTGAATCTGGGCCAGCACCAAGGTTGCTATCATAAGGCACTGCTAAGGTGTGTGCACAGACCCAGGAGCAGTCCTGCAGAGAGAAGCACCCCTGTTTCCTTTATGTGCTGCTTGCACCTGAGGAAAACTTAGTGTCCTCTCACTCTAGTGACCTTTCTCTGGATTTTTTTCCCTGGGGAAGGCACTGAATTTGCCTGCTCTATTTCCTACCTTTTTCATAAGTCACGTTGTGTAGAAGACTTGTAAAATCTTCATTGATCAGCACAGGTTCTGGGAGGTTAATGGATCGAAATGGGCTGCCCTGGAGGGGTGTAGGTACCGTCTGTGACCCATGATCATCCTTCTGTGCTCTTCTGTACGAATACAAAGAATGAGACAGTTGGAAAGTATGAATGCTACAGGTGAAGCTCCTGTGCTGCAGCTGGGGCAGACAATAGTGTAAGTATAAGCACAGAGTTAAAAGTAGGACAACTCCAGCAGAGATCAGGAAAGAAGTTGGCTTTGATGTAGTTCATGAACAATGTTCTGGCAGTAAGTTCCACTGGCTATAGGTTATTTCAGATCTGCTCTTTTGCAGAGCATATTTCATCTAATTAAATGGCTTAATTAGCTAAGGAGCTAGCCTAGATTTGTCATCAAGGCAGCTGCACGCTCGTCAAAACTCAGTTTTCAGGAGGTTTATGAGGGCCAAGGTGGGTGAGCTGACTGCTTCATCACAGCAGCAGTGTGGCCCAGCAGCATGCAAACATGCTCCTGCATGACCCTGCTCAGAGAAGAAAAGGCTGGTGACAGGAAAGCAGAGCATGGCTGCACCATCAAGAGCCCACCAGGCTAGAGCTTCCAGTAGTAATCAGGGTTGATACACAGGAAAAGATTAAGACATTGAAGCTATAGGAAATTAACAAGACAGACACCACTGCTAATGAGCACTTGAAGAGCTTTGGAGTTCGTGCCCTTACTTAGCTTTCATTTTCCGTGATTCCCTCCGCTTCTCTTGCTGCAGCTGCTCAATTTTCTGTTGCATTTCCTCCTGCTTGGCACTGATTTCTTCAATCATTGATTTTGCATCGCTGAGCTCCTCCTGAGAAACAGACAGAAGCACAGTATTCCCAGGGTGCCCCTCAGCCTTGCATAGCTCTGCTTTGAATGCTGGCTGGCATGCAGTACACAAGCTTCGGGATGCTGGGGAGAGCGGCTCTGTGGTTTGACACTCTTCCTTTGCAAGTCCAGTGTGTGTGTTACACTGCATGGCAATCCTTAATTCAACTACAGGCAACTCACCCAAGCCAGCATGATGTCTCATGTTTAAGGCACTGGTGGGAGATGGAGACATGGGGCTTCAGCCACCACCAGTTAAAAGCACTGGGAGGACTCCTGCCTTTAATGGCATTTGGAGGTGGGCCTGAGGAAGCATGTTTCCCTCTGCAGTTATCCAGCATGTGTATTCAATGTTCAGTTCAGAGCCCAGTTTTATCACTCACATGTGTAAGCTTTTGCCAGTCAGGCCTTGGAGCTGCCTTTTTAGCCTGCTTTCCTAAGGAAATGAGGGCCTCCATAACCTCCCTGTCAGCACATCCTCCCTCAGGCAGCTTCCACAAAGCTTTACTTGAGTGTAGAGCCCTCTCATGCATGAAGTTCCTGCAGGTTTCATCAGTGTGAGTAGCAGGATGGAGGAGAGAGGCTACAGAGTTCTTTGTAAACTGAAGGAGTGGGGTTTCCCCAAGCAAGCAAGTGGCTTCATTGGCAGCTTGACATTTGGACAGTCAACATGGGCATGAGGCAGAGAGCAGCTTTTACCCCTCCTGTTTCTTACATAATTTCTTGTGTCTGGATTTTTAAACCCCTTTTTACCTCTGAACAATGCCATGGGTGACCCTGCATCTGGTAGCTTTGAGACCTCTGCCATGTGCAGAGGAGACACTTCTTGTTTTCTCCTTTGCTTGTCCAGGACCACAGGCCTGCTTTTGCCTGGTGCTATCCGCATCTCCCTGTCAGAGGGTTAGTAACAGGCTTTTCCAGTAAGCAGCCCTTTTTAACTTCACAAGGTATTATTGACTCAGCAAAACCCCATGGGGAAGATCTATCATAAAAACAATAAACTAGTTTCTCTGCCCATCTCCTCACAGGCAGTCATCCAGTTTCTGCATGGAAGTGCTGCCTGGTTTAAAGTGTACATGAAGCCGTCTTTATTCTCTTGGGCTGGATCAAACCAGGCAGTGCTTCCTCCCAGTCATGTGAGAATGCAACTTCAAAAGGCTGTAGGGTTTTGTGTTAATTCCCGGCTCCGCAGCGGCTTGGGTTACTGCAGGAAATGCAGGAGACCTGGCCCAGGGAGAGGTATTGCACAGTGGCCCTGTGAACAAGCCAAGTGCCTGTTGCATGTGCCGTCCCAAGCAAGGGTTGCTTGTGCCCAGGGCAGCTCACAGCACTGCCTCGTGGCCCATTGAGAAGGCTCAACAGGCCAGGGCATGGGTTACGTTTGGGCTGGGGTAGTCAGGGAGACACAAAGCCAAAGGAAGAGCACCAGATATACCTGAAACAATTGCCAGCTCGTTTTCTTTACGAGCAGGAAGGATTGATGGAAGCAGGGGAATTCTGCCCTGTGCCACCCAAGCTAGCATGGCAGGTATGCAGCCCCCTTGGGGGTCACACTCCTACCTTGAATGTGTTGAGGGAATTCTTCATCTCAGCCACTTTCTCTTCCATGGCACAGCGGCAGCTCTTGACCTTCTCCTCCAGGGCATACTCGCCATGCTGGATCCGTGACAGCTCCTGCATCGCTTCTGTGAAACCCGCTTTCAACTCAGAGGCTAATGCCTGCAACTAGAGGAACCACAAACAGGGTGGGTTCAGTCCCTCCTCCCAGATGCAGGTGGCTGTGTTCCCGAGGGTCACCCCTGGTTCAGAGTGGCATGAAGGCTGGGTGTAACCCATCCTCTAAGGTGCTGACCTCTTTCTCCTCCTCCAATCATGGCTGGGAGACATGGAGGGAGGTTTGACCCCTGCTTCAGCCTCAAGTACAGGGTAGGATGTGTTTGTCTTGGGCAGTCAGTGTGCCCCTTTTTAGAGTTTTTCCAGGCTCCCTGGCAGTTTGCAGCCTGTCAGTCTGTAGAAGGAGAGGACAGCCTGAAACATGCCAAGGTGCTTTGCAATAACAGCAGCCAGATTTATCAATCCCCAAAGCAGCTGAGCAATCACGAATATGTCCATTTTGAGCAAGTCCTCCTCCCCCACATGCTTGTGGGGCTGGTGCTCTCCCTAGACAGGTCTAACACCTCCTTGCTCTCCAAGGGCTATGGAGAAGCTCTGTCCTGGGTCAGCAGGCCCTTTCCAAGCAAGGAGGCAGCTCTTTAACTCATGATGGGGAGGGAGTGGGAAGTTTTCCCCTGGCATACAGTGACACTGTGCCCACTCACCCTGTTTGCTGTCCCTAGAGGCCCTAGCACTGCTGGAAGAGCTCACCATCTAAGCTGGAGGCAGCCAGTTGATAGCCGCGTGAAGCAGGAGACAGAGCAGGGTGAGCCAGGCTGGCATAGCGAGCAGACAAGGCAGTGTGGAGGTGGGCAGTGAGGGGAGGCAGCAGGGGCTAAGCAGGGACACCCTCTTCAGGGTCAGCTTGGGTTGGCAGCCCTGAACTGTGCCCCACTGCTGGGAGCAGGGAGCTCGTTCTGCCTGCACAAAGCCCATGGCGAGGTCGCAGGTTTTTACCTTTACAACAGAAATTCGGCCTAACATCTGGTTATAAACTGAGTCCAAAACTGGAGCACTGATGGTAAGAGGACAGCCACCCCGGGGAACTCAGGCGCTTGAGTCCTGTAAATGGAGCAGAGATGGCTTCCGATACCTCGGGGCAATGGCATGCCCCATCCTCCTCTGATCAGACTGACATTGTCTTTACAGAGGACGTCTGCCTGACATCCCCACTCCTACCCCAGTGCTTACCCCACTGTCCCCAGTCTGGTCTGGCTGGACATGCATTCCCAGAGTTGCCTGGCTAAGAGGAATGGGACTGACAGGCTGGGACAGGGCGGAGAGGAGCAGGAGGCTGAGGGCATCTTCCCTCTTCAGGCAGTCAACCCTGACTCCCCAAGCCACCTGGAGCTCCAGACCCCTTGGTTCAACACCTTCACCCACCCTTTCTGGCCACAGTGGACACCTTCCTGTGACACAAGAGTATCACAGGAATTGTCACCTTGTGAGTGTAGCCTGAAAAGTTAGAGGGGCTGCTTGGGGCCATGGCTGCTAGGGGAGGCAATGATGCTAGGGGAGGCAATGATGCTGCTGATATCTCAGCCTAGGGGTTGAGGCAGATGGTCTTAGCATCATCAGACATCCTGACACACATGCCTGGAGATGTGGGGGAATACCAAGTGCTCCAGCAGTGCAAAATGTTCATATTCCCATGCCTGCTCTCAAGTGCTTGCCACACTTCCATGCTAAGCTGACATTGCCAAGGCAGAGTCTCCCTGCTAGCCTGCATCAGGGCTTGGCATCACATACTTTCCTCCAAGTGAAAAGGGGTGATTCATCAGATCCATCCCTTCCAACTGAAATTTGCTGTTCTGTTGTATCCTATGCTAACCCTTTTAGAAATCTGCTTGAGGATGGGGATGTCACAGCCTCAAAGTGGAGCAGTCTGGAAACTGGCCGTGGAGATAACAACAACTGGGGAGGATAACCAAAAATGAAATGGTTTTGCCCATAGGCCTGGCCATATCCTCCTCATATGCTTCCAGAAGGGGTGTAAACTAGACAGATCCTTTGTAAAGGGTACAGGGATTGGAGTCATTGCTCATCTAGAGGTTTCAGATTCAAGAACTGCTAGACGTCAGCAAAAGTCAGTAAAAAGGGACTACTGCAGAGACTTTAGTATCCATGTGCACCGAGATGCTCTGTGAAAGCAGAGTTCAGACAGCCAAAAGAAAGATTGGGACTAGAATAAAATAGGCTTTGCCTCTAAGAGCAGAAAGTCACTTGTTATTTTGGGGTTCACTGTTGGCCAATCTGCTCTTGCAGTCACAGTGCTAGCTTGGTTTCTTTGTGAGTCCTTTGTGCTCCAGACCCCAGCCTGGCTCTGCCCTACCTGGTACATCCTTCCTTGGCACCATGCAGCTTGCAGTGGCAATTTCAAACTCTGAAGTGCATCTTGCACTTGCATTTCCTTTTGTTGATGCTTGATGGGTAAAAGCAGCAAGCAACATGAATCAGCCATATCTGCTCGGACAGGAAGTGCTGAAACCCTGAGAACTCCTTTCTCCACTGCCATCAGCTCTCAGAGCATAGAAAGGAAATACTAAGAGCCTTGTGGCACTGGGTGCAAGTTTGATGCAAAAGTGAGTGGCACAGGAACAACATATTTTCTTTGAACTCCTGCCAAGCACAGTGTCGTGCTTGAGCCATGGATTTTGGTTTGAGCTCCTTTCTAATGACAAGCTGTAGAAAACCACCCTTTAAATCCCCTCAGCTGTTGCAGAAAATGGAAGCTGCTGAAGCATCAGCTCATGCTTATGTCTTGCCCAAGTTATGCCTACAGGACCAGAGACGTTTCACAGGTTTGTGAACCCCTGGAAAGTTAAACCAATTCAGTGCTTCTAAAGTGCAACACATACCATATAAAATAGACAGATTTTATACTAGCACAGAAACTTGGCAACAGCTTAACTGTAATGTGTTGTTCTGCCTCACCTGTTCATGGAATAAATAAACTGTAGTACTTAAGTTGTGGAAGTTAAGGAACACACCTTAACAACTGAAGTTGAGCTAATGCCTAGAGGATAAGTGAATCTGCATGGTCACAGGGAGTCCTTAGAACCTGTCCAAGAGCTGTTCAAAAAAGCGTTTGGACATCTAAATAATGTAGGCTAAGATACATGTTTCAGTCCCCACGTGCCTTTGGAATGTGGCTCTCAAATTTGACAAAGCAATGCACTGAGGGGTCCAGCATCATGCAGTTCAGCAGATTATGTCATTGCTGGAGAGCATGACTCCCATTTTACCTGCTCCCATGATGTTTTTCAGCTGTGTGTGTGGAAAAGCCATGCAAGTAAAATCTCTTAACAAGACCAAGTAACTGCTGTGCTCTCCTGGTAGCTGCCCATAGGGAAATGAAGGGTTCTCCTTCTCTCCCTACAGGACTGATTAACAAGACAGTCACTTGTGACTCTCCCTTGCCCTCTAGCACAATGAGAATATGAACTCTCTATTGTAGTCCACCTGGAGAGGGGAGTAACCATTTCCCAACATAGGGGAACTGTGACAATGTGGAGGAAGTGATGACGGCTAGAGGGGAGGAGAAGGGTGAGATGAGAAGACATATGGGGAGCGTTTCTCAGCCTGGTTTTGACTTTACTTTCAGAGAGTGGAGATACATATGTCTATATATATATATATACACACACATATATGTATACACATACAGAAACCAGCTGTGAAATCTCCTTTGCTGAGCCTCTGCTTGTCTCACCTGTTGTACTGTCCTCAAAGGGTGAATAGGACTGATGTTGCTTCTGGGACCAGAGGCAGCAAAACTGTAGAGCCTGCCCATCCTTCCTCAGTGGGTGCCAGCAATATTAGCCATTTGCAGTAGATAGTGACTGTCCATGCAGTCTAATGCTTTGTCTAAGTCTTTGTCTAAGACCTTGAGGCTGCTCAGGGAATGTGATCATGGCCAGGAGACAGGGATGACTTATGGAAGGAATGGCTGGGGTTGAAAGCAGAGGGCAGAGTCTTGAGGAGCTGGGTTTGCTGCCCTGGCTGCCACTGAAGGGGTGAGAGGGAACCTTTACTTCCATGAGTATATGTGTCCCCAGATATCTCCTTCAGCAATAGCCAGGCTGTCCAGAGCTCTGTGTCTCCAAAAGAATGGCTATTTGCATCTGCTGTCGTTGGCAGCTGCCCTAAGGTCCTTACACTAGAACAGGGCCTGCCCTCAGGGACCGTGAGCTGAAGCCTGTCAAAATCAGTGGAAAGCAATCTCAAGATGAAGAAATTCTGCAGAGGAATAATTCTGCTGCTATAAATATATCCTAGAAAAGAGCAAAACCACCTGCAGCCATGAAGAAGTACTGCCTGTTAACTTTGACCACCTTATCTACTATCCGTCACTTTGCACATCATCTTATGTGGCTGATCTGAAGAAGAAAGTAAACATTTTGTCACCCAAAAAGAAGGCTGCCTGAGGACGCTGCCTGGAACTAAGCTGGGACAAAGTCCAACAGTTGCGACAAAGCCTGGAACTGATTTTTCTGAGCTGCATGGTGTATGCTTCTACCAGGGAACAACTGATTTCTAGCACAGCTACTAACTCCTATGTCTAAGGGCAGCATTTCTACAGCCAAGCATCAGCAAGGCTTGCAATACCTCATAGCAGGAAAGCAGCAGAGCTGTGCTCATTTACAGTGGCAGAGAACCTGGCCCTAGGAGTATATCCAGTATTTATACTCCTAGGTAAGCATGATAGGAATAAAGGCAGAGCAGCAGGGTAAGGCTAGAAGAGAAGGATGGAAATACTTAAAGGGGGCTGCAAGCACTATTGGCTCTTGTTTCACATCTGTGCAGTCTGTTTTGGTGTCCATAGGGCCCTTGCTGAAGTAGGAGGGGACACCCAGCTGGTAACTTGTGTTGAAAGATTCATTAGGGTATTCACATCTTAGCAGGGTTTTTCTGGAAAGCAGCATGTGTACATGTTGTTCCTAGCACACTGTCCCAACATGTTGGATCCACTGTGCTGGGCCCTTCAGCAATCCAGTCACAGCTCCTGCTTGAAGCTGCCTGGATGGGAAAAGAGGATGTGACAAGAGAAGTACTGGCTAGTTAATGGAAGGCAGTATCTTCTCCACTTGCCATGGTGCACTTGAAAGCAATTACAGGCATTAGTGTTGCAATGGTGGCAAGGCTCAAATAGTCAGGATTTCCAGTTCACAGGTATGCTTGTCTTTCAGAGTATGGTTCCATATTGAAGCAGACCAAAGTTTAAAGTGCTCAAAACTCTGTTGTGTTTCCTTCAGACTGGAAATGCTTAGGAAACATCACTGTGGAAACACTGAAACTGCATCTTACAGGAAGGATGCATCCCTGGTAGAGACAATCTTGTTGCATCTGTAGTGGCTGATAGCAGCAAGAATGTCAACATGAAGAGTGGCCACAGAGCTCGGGAAATCCTGTTCACCTTGAAATGACATGGGCTCAAAGACAGGGTTCCCAAGCTCCTGGCTGGGGAGCCAGACAGACATGCAGCAAGATTCAGGGCTCTGGCCAGCCCGGCTGGTCTGGATTATCAAGCAAGAAGAGCACCCCATGGTCCAAGGAGCTACCAGAGCCCCCAGGAGACTTGGTTCCCTGTTGGGGAAGATACCCCCACCCCATGTCAATCAACACATCCTTGCTCCTGGGACAGTTAATCAGGTTTAGCCATGAAATCTCCCTCCAGCCCAGTGAATTGACTTTCTGTAATTGATGCTAATGATACCAGCTAGTTAATTAGCTGAGCTCACAATCACCCGTCTAAACACAACTGGAGTGTCTTTTGAGATGAGGCCCAAGATGTGATATGTATAACATTCATCCATGCAGTGTGCACGTTTTAGTTGCCATGTTCCTTGTAAGTGTCTCTAATTTTCTTTCCACTTAATTTAGCTTTTTAACTACTATTTATATATCAGTAACTCTTTAAATTCTTGGAGTTATTTAGGGCATTTTGCTCATCTTTACCTGGGAAATCTGTGTTGCAGGGGTACTCACAGGCACACTTTCAGTCTCTCCTGTGGGAATAAAGAATTTCAGTCTATTAAAATTACTTATTATAGTTGCTATAAATAACGAGAACAGAGGGTTTGAAGTCCCTCTTGAGGTACAAATCAGTTTTAAAGGACTCAAGTCTTACTTTAGGAGGTATGAACACCATATCATTTGTAAATTAAACTGCAGTTATAAAACAGACAGTAAATTCACCTCATATGCTGTCCTGTGTGTGAATGAAGCTGATCCCTGTGAAGAGGTGAGAAACCTTGTATGTGCAAACAGGGCTACATTGCTCCCTGTGAAGTTCAGTTCTGTGTACCAGCCTTAAATAACAGGTTTTTCCCCCTAAATCCTCACTGATCCCTCCCCTTTGTGAAAATGTGGATTTTATCCTTTACTGTATTTGTGCATATTTATCTCCACAAAAGTCTGATCTGTATATTTTAAGCCCTAGGTTAACAGACTTAGCTCATGGAGGAGTTTTTATCTATTTTGCAGAAGTGTTTTGGACACTTCAGAGACATTGTCTCTAGGCATTAATGAGTTCTGAGGATTGAAGAGGACTGAAACCAAGAAGTCTAAATATATTATTTCCTCTTTCAACATTGTCTCTTCAGTGCAGAAACCAGTTATCCAAGAGAAGTTATCACTGCACTTTGAGGGAATTACAAATAGCCATTGTTTTCCATGTTATTGCCTAAGATGGCCTTCACTCCCAGGAAACACCACCACCCAGTTCCTCATTTGAATCACCTCCCATTGGCAATGTCACTTCTTGAGACCACTTGCCTCGAAGAATTTGCTTCACCCATCTCTGCTGTCAGTCACAGACATGACCGGTGACCCAGTGCCCAATTCTAGGGGTGCCATGCTCTCTCTTTCCATGCTGGCCGCAGGTGTTAAGTCCCTTACCCACCTGGGCCTTTAACACCACAGAAATTCAGGCCTGCAGAGGCTTGAAAAGGGTGCAGGGAGGACTTTACCCAGTCAGCCAGTGCACGAAGTAGAAAGCTGAAGCCTGGAAGTCAGAGCTTTCCAAGGCAGACATGTTCTGATTTCTTTACCCCCTGAGGGGGAATATGGGTTACTGCCAAGGGCACCTAGGAATTGGCCCTGTTCTGGTCCTTAGGATTTGTCCTGATTCAGAGGAAAAGGAGCAAATTGAGGTCTTTTCCAACCCTAACTATTCTATGATTCTGTGATTCCCCAGTGACTCGCAGGAGTGTGAGGCAGAGGGAGGAGGGGCTGTATGCCCCTCTCTGCCTATGTACTGCTTTCTCCTCATGCTGGCTGGTCCTGCAGCCCTGGGGAGGGGTAGGTTAGCAAGGTCAGACAGTGATTCCCTCCAGGGAATATCCTATAAGGTTCCTCCTGCAGAAAACAAGGGGTAAGAGGCTGACTGGGAAAAGTAACCATGAACTCAAAGAGCCAGTTGTTTGGGGTGAAATCTCATCAGCCCAAGTCCCAAGTTTCATCTTTTAAATGACCAGTTGTTTTCATTTTCAGCTTTGGCCCTTCTGGGGGTAAATTTTGTCTGCAACCCCACAAACTCGAAACTGACTTTTGACCTTAAGTGAATGATGAAGCTTTCTAATGGTGCCTCATTGGGGCTTGAGAAGGCAAATGATGTTTAAATGTTACTGCTGGACCCTTACTGTTGGATGGTAATGACTGACCCAAAAAAGAGCAAAAGGGCATGTTTCTTAATCATTAGCACGATACAAACCAGGTGCTGGGAGGACAGTGAGATGCTGGTTTTGCACGGTGGTGGGCATATTGAATGCTGAGCTTTGTGGGGGTCTGGAGAAGTCAGGTAGCAGTGCAGCAAGAAAGAGCTATGGTCTGTCCTCACAATTTCTTTGGGAGGGCTGGACCCAAGCACTGAAGAAGTCTGAATCTTTCATTTGGGTTTGGATAGGAATCAGTCTGTAGTGTCCTTGGAGAAACTCAAAGCAAAGAACTCCTCCTGAGCGAGGCCAGAAGAGGGGAAAGGATCCCTGCTCCCGTGATTTTACTTCCCACCTTTGTCATGAGCATGAGCAGAAGCACTGTCTGCATGTTCCCTGTCAAAACCCAGATAATTACTATAAAGTCACTGTTAAAAGCTGGAGCAGAGGAGGCTCCTCACAGTTGCCCTGTGGGAAGAAAGGGGATTTGTGGTTATCTCCCAATTTCTGCACTGAACATCTGCAGCCCATGGGGGCATACCAATTAATTGGAAAAGATCTCTGAGTTAATTTCCTTTCCAGGCTGCTGTAGTGCAGGGGCTGAGGTACACAGACCTAATTTATCAAATTAGAATAATAATAATAGAGAAATTAACTCTTCCATTAGCTATGCCATGAATGAATGTTGGCACCACCAAGCATCTTCTAAGAGGTGAAGAGATAGTTCGGGCTCTCTCCTGACCTGACAGTTATGGGCACTCCTAAATTTGCTCCCCCTGCTCGTCATAGTTTCAAGAGTTTCTATGGACATAGTCACCTCTGAGGTAGCAAGGCAGAGGATAATGCTGCAAGGGGTTTGGGGTGAGAAGCAAGTACTATCAGCCCCATATTGCTCTGTAAGAATAATTATAACTGATAACCACTAAAACCCTGGACCCCTGAGCTTTGTAGACTTTCTAGAAGTGTTGCTGACTGTAGCAGGACTGGTTGCATGCAAGCAGTGTGGCCTGGACACATCTTGGTGCTTGCAAGATCATGACTGGTGCGGAAGTCTGGGTTGTTGCAATGACAGGAACAAGAACCCCTTGCAATAAAGCATGTGGGGGGTAGAAGCAGATCCTCATCATAGTGCCCTCATGTAAGACAAAGCATTTGACAGTTAGAAGTCTCTCTACATCCCAAGGCAGAGATGGGTCCAAGGCAAGAGAGAGGAATGACTTCCCACAGTGGACATTACATATGCCACAGGATTATTTTCCAGAGGGGAGAGGGAGGTGTTTATAAAATAAAAGATAAAAACTTCACACCTCAGATATTTCTATGAATTTAAAAGAAGGGAACATTTGCCCAAAGCTGCTATGGCTAAGAGGTGTTCTCAGGGGGCTAGCTGCCAACAGACAGCTCATACGAGAGCAGGTTTCCTCCTTGCTGTTTTTCATACTAACAAGAAGTGAAATAAGAGGATGCTTTACCTTCTTGTTTGTTTGAGTCCATGGCTGCTATAGGGTGTGCGTCCTCGGAGGGACTCCTGTCCTTACTCTGGAGGGTTCTGGTTGGTCACTGGGAACATCCCATGGCTTAGAGCTGCCCACATGTGAGCCCTGCGATGGGTCAGCTGGTCTGAACCCTGAGTGCAGAAAGATGCAGAAAGGATTTATTGAGCGGAGATGCTCAAAGTTCAGAAAACAGAGGGCAGAGGAGCAGGGATTTGAGAGGGGATGAGGCATCTTAAAGGTCTCTTTGGGTTCACAGTGCCTCCACAAGCAGAATAGGGGCCAATCCAAGCAAACACTTCCCTCCCAGCCCAAGGCCGTTTGTATTTATGTGGATGGGTGATGAAGAGGTTCTATGTAACCCCACAGAGACTATTTGCTCAGCAAGATGCTTCTTATATGAACACAGAAGTAAAATGAAGCATACTCTGAATGGAACATAAACATCTTGCATGGGTGCTCTGCAACAAATCAAAGGACCAGCTTTTTGCTATGCAACTAATCACCCAAAATGTCCTCCAAATTTGTGTTTGGGACACAGAGATATTGCCTTCACAATCCTGCTGGCACTTTTGGAGGTGCTTGTACTGCTTTCTCTGCCAGTTGTCTCCCTGATTTTTTGAGGCACAGGAGTGCTGCAAGGCACCTCAGTGTGTAGAGCTGCAGCCTCTCTGGAAGCCTAGTCAATCCCTTGGTAAAGCATCTCATCAGTCTGGTAATGGAGTTAGGACTTTGGAAACAGTCTTTAGATAATGCCTGGTTAATGACTCAGGCAGAGCCCCCCAAAAATGGATTGCACCAGCTAACACTTCTCTTATCAGCATGGGCACTGCCTCACATCCATGCTTCCTCTCCCCAGGGTTTAATACAAGTCTGCTTTTGTCGAGCCTTACTAGGGAACCAGATGTGATTTAGGACTCTAGAATGACCTCACACCTCCATTCCTGTCTGCCATAGATATGCCCAAGGCTGTTGTGAGTTATCATTAGCTTTGTTAATGGGATTGGAGGGGCCAGTGTAATTATGGCACAAAGCTCTGCTGACACAGCTCTGCCAGGAGGGCTGTGGTGATTCAGAGAAGCCTGGGATGATGTTTACAAGGAAGAAGGCACAGAGAAAGGCACATAGCATTAAATAGATGGGAGAGATGCAAAAGATGCAAGAGCCCTGGTGGCTTTAGGAAATGGCTGCTGAAACAGTTGCTTCTGGTGCAGTCAGGAGCGTAGCTTAGCGGCCACACACTTTTGACCTGATAGCTTTCCAGTGTGGAGTTCCTGAGGGGGGACGGCGGTGGCACCATCAGGGCCCCTGAGGTGGGGTGATGCTGAGTGTTTTTGAGCTGTGGCAAGGGATGCCTCATATGATCAGGCTGGGAGTGGCACAGCCAACAGCATATACAGCCAGCCTCCTGCTGAGGGTATGGTGAGGACTGGAAGGCTTCCAGAGCACAGTGCTGGGAGTTGGGACACAGACTTGGGAGTTTGCATCTTCCTGAGATTGAGGATTAATGAAAGGATAAATGCATTATTTGTAAGAGCTACAAGATCCATTGTCTGCTCAGGACAGAGGATCCTCTGGTGACATGTGGAAAATCTGAGACAAGCTGGAGGGACTTTGGATGTGGGCTTTGTACAAACAGGCTGGGAAAGCTTCTAGGTGGACAATGAGCTTCTACAATGGGCTTTGTACAAACAGGCTGGGAAAGCTTCTAGGTGGACAACAATTCTAGGTTACAGTGAGATAAACGCAATAGTTTATTTAATCTGTTTTCTATCAGCTGATGGTGTAAAAGTCATTTTCTTGTTCTGAAGTCTCTAAATCTCATGGCAGAATTTAGATGGGCAGGGACCTCTGGAGTTACCTGACTCAAAGCAGGGCTAACCCCAAAGCTGGATCAGATTGCTCAGAGCCGCATCTAGACCAGGTCTGACTGTCTCCCAGGCTGGTGACTTCTCAACCTTTCTGGGCCTGTCCCAGGACTGCTGTACTCTCATGGGCAAGATGTTTCTCGTTACAGCCAGTGTTTCCATTGCTGCAGCTTGTGCCCTCAGTAATTTATCCTTTCATTGTTTCTGTTGGAAAAGCCCAACTGTCTAGTCTATAAGGCCCATTAGGTGGTTGCAGATGGCTGTAGGACCCCCTAGCCTTCTCTTTCCCAATCTGAACAAACTCAGCTCCCTCAGCCTCTCCTATGCTGTGTGCTCCAGTCCTCTTTAGAGGAATAAACCAACAAATATATAAACAAATGTTTTTTCTGATAGGTATCCAGAATGGCAAGAACACGATTTGCTTCTGAAACACGTAAATATGCAGTTGCTTTTAAAGTAGCCTAACCTCCTCTCTAGTAGTTTTGAGGAGCAGGTACTTAAGTCTGGGCCTCTGAGAAAAACAGACCTTCAACTTCAGCTTCAGCAGCAGCTTGTTTAGTAGCAAAGCTGTTAAACTTTACTTCTGGCTTAGACTAGTCAATGCCATAGCAAATTCATGAGGCTTCTGTTATTGGGACCAGCTTATTTAACACTGAGAGCTGTTTTAAAAAATCAGAATTGTTTCTGCAATGCTGGGGATAAAGGAACACATAGGAAAGGCAAAACAGGTATGAGAAAAATGTAAATCTCACCTGTGATAAACTTTGGCACAGCTTTTTGCTGGAAATTCTTTTTTTTTTTTGGTAATAAAAACATGTACATATTTTTACCCATTCTGCTTTTATATTATTAATGTTTTACCATGCCAGTTATAGCAGCATAACAGTATATAATTGTTATCTATTAATAATAATAATAAACAAACATCAATTAGTATGGAATTAGTTATATTAATATACATTAAATACACTAACTGCATGGTATGTCTTAAAGGTTTTATAATTTTACTATTCACTGGGTCAATTATTCTGGGGATCCCTAAATCTCTGGTGACAATGTGATATTGGTATCTCTGGCCTTCTCAAGGCAGGGTGACCATACCCAGCCAGTACCAAAATCATTTACTGTGGGAGAATGCCAAAATGAGAGTATCTAACCCATGCTGCTGCACAGCTTTAAATGGGGAAGTCAGGGGACTGTAATGCATGAGGAAACGATGCATAAGGCAGGCATCCAAGATGAAGAAAAGACAGAATTATGGTATAATTCAGTTCCATCAAGTGCTCTCTACTTCCACCAGCTCCTCCCAGGCCATTTGAGGTCTCAAAATGCTTGTGTCACTGTCTAGGTCCCACTTGGGCATGTTCCCTTGCCCATCACGTCACCAGGCCATGCCACCAGTCTCACAGATGGTGATTCAGGCTGAGGGATGCAACACAAAGAGTATCTGTGTCTACCTTCCCCTAACACGTGGAAACCTGCAGTTGTCATGCATGGAGGAGAAGTCCTCAGGAGGGCATTCCCCCCCTCTGCTGTGCTACAGGTGATGACAAAGAAAGAAGTTTGTCTGATACAGAGAAAAATAACCTGCATGAGGTTTTAATGACAGTGGAGCAAAACTTGTAGAAAAAGGGCTTATATGAGGATGTGTCATTGCCCTATTACCTATCTTCTGTTCTCATGCACTTTCAGGGCCACAAAGGGCTAGAAGATATGCCCTTGGCATTGTATCTCATCTCTTGTTTTATAAAAACACTGTGAGTTCCTGCTATCATCACAAGTAATATTTTCCTTATAGAGGGAAGTCAAAGCAATGGAGATTTAACACTCGTGCAGACAAGGACAATGTCTGAGCACAGCCTCTGTCCTCTGCAAAGCTCAGAAGTGAGGTTTGAAACTGGGACACCGGGGATGCTGCCATCCTCTCTGCTCCAGCACCACCAGCTCTGCTGTATGACCGCACTGCAAAGTAGGCTGACCTTGGTTAAGTGGGTCCAAAAATCTTCCCTGCTTACAGTTATGGAGTTACTGTCTTTCATGTGTCCTCTGGCTGCAGACTGCAATTTCCTGAGTCACCCCTCCGTTCTTTGTTAGATCAAATAATTACATTACAATGGCTACTTTACATTAAGGAATCACTGCTGGACTCCATGATATATATAACATTGCCTGTCCCTCATTCTTCTGAACTGCTGAATATACAGAGCAAAACTTTCTTCCACATCACTAAACCAAACAAAATGTGTGTGGTTTGGAGTGAAGGCTTGTCCTCTGTTCTTCCTGACTGCCAGGTAGGGAAGCTGTTAACACTGTCCTTACCAGGGACAAGGCTTTTAGTCAGCGTGAGCTGACTGAGCAGCGTTTAGCTTGTTCCTAAAGGGAAAGGGATTGGAAAATAGGGTTGACTTCTGGCCTTAAGACCCTTGATGTGGGCTGCTTGGTCAAATCCTATCTCTGCTGGCAGTGAACAAGTCATAACCTCACAGCAGAGTCTAGGTGAGTAGAAACCCTTGTATATCTTCAGTTCAACTTCCTGTTTGGATCAAGGCTAACTCCAAACTAGATAGGTTCCTTAGAGCTGTGTCCAGTTCAGGTCTGAATATTTCCTCCAGTATCCTGGGGAAGAATATTTTTCCTTACATGCAGTCAGGATTTCCCTTTGCTGCAGCTTGTGCCCATTGCCTTTCACTGTGCACCTCTGGGAAGAATGTGGACTCTGTCTACTTTATAGCCCCCTTGAGGCAGTGAAAAACTGCAAAAGGATCTCCCCCTTCACCTCTTTTTCTCAGTACTCAGCAGGCCCCATACCCTTAACCCCTTCCCATATGCACACACATGGATGCATGGGCACACTGGAAGTAAAAGCAAGTCCTCCATAAGGCTGCTTTCCTAAACCACTATCCGGCCTCCACCCCTGGCAAATACAAGGTTTGCCTCATATGCCAGCCACCACAGGGTAGTTTCCTCATGAACAAGGATGTGTTATTGTCCCTCTGCAAGCTTCCCACTGGACAGGTTCAACAACCAGTCTCATGAAGCCATCATCAGGCTGTCTTGGCTTGCAATCCAAGCCTATGCCCCCCCTACTTTAAGGACAAGAAATGACAAAGATGTTCTTGTTTCTTCAGAGCTGAGCATTAAAACACATTTACCTTCTTGCAGCTCTCATCCAGCTAAAATTACATCTCCGGAGCAAAGCCCAGAGAATAGTTTCAGGGTGTTAAAGCCACCAGGTTACTCCATTGTGGCTAAAGGAAATATTTTTCTGTAATCTGTCTCTATCTTCCCTCCAGCAACCAAATCTGACAAGCCCAAAAACCAAAGCCGTGCCACCTCTGACACTAGTGATTGCCATGATTCTGGCCACTGGTGTGCAGCAAAGAATACTGCCCTGATGCCTTGTAGCTGGCACTGCAGCCCCCCCAGTGCAGGGCAGAAGGCACGTGAAAGTTAACAGAGCCTGAGCCAGCACCCACTTCCCATGAGATCCCCATAGAAAATGGTGAAAAGGTGTGGGTGGGTGAGGAGGTCCCAGAGTTTGCCCTCTCTAGCTGTGCTTCAGGCACAGGGTCAGAGACCACAGTGACGTGCCCCTGAGACGGGATTCCTGCATAGAGCTGTACGTGAGGGAGGGAGAGGAGGCAGGTCCTGCAGCCTGCGCTGCATTTGTGTGACCATGCTCACCCTTCCAGTGCTCCCCCCACATGGAATGGCACAACTGGGAGAAGCAATCAGCTGTGGAGATGATCGCTTGTTACAAAGAGTGACCAAATAACCCAAGCATCAGCATGCAAACAGGCAAAGTTGAATAAAGCATTTACAGCCTAGCCTTGATGGACAACAGTAACTGTCTGGCTTTCTGTTCCATTCTGCTTCTGAAATCATGACATGGGTAACAGTGCGAGGAAATCTGTATGCACTTTTGCTGCTTCAGGTGTTAAACATCCACAACTGTCCTAAATAAAAGCTTGGGATCTGCCTGGTAACTGTCTCAATCCTGCTGGCTGAGATTGCTGGCTGGTTTTAATAGCCCACTTGAAGAACAAGCCCCGGTCCTCTACAGAGAGCAAAAATTTAGTGATTTACTCTCATCACTCTCATGCTTTGTCTCCAGCTGTCACTCAGACACTTCAGTTCAGCATGATACCTCAATTTATCTCTTAAATGGTAACAGCAGAGAAAAACCAAACATCTTTTTTAACCTGGTATTTTAGAGACCTTACTATAAATGCAGCCTCACAAGACTCTCCAGCACACTAAGAAGCTAGATCTCTATACACAGTCTTAGAAGAAATCATCTGGAAATAACTGTGGGCACATAAGATGCAAAACACTTTAAATACCATTGTATGTACTGCACATGCAATGTTAAACAGCGATGTCTCTAGCTTTTCCCAATCATACGAAAAACTGTATTACTAGTCCCACTCTTCATTCTTTGCCGAGTATAGTTTAAACTTACCTCAGGCTGTCTGAAGATCCTTCAGCACTGGCGGTTGCCAGAGTTGGGAATTAGCACTGTGCAGGAAAGGAGAGAGAACAGCAATGGTGGTTTGACGTTTCCCGGGATGGGACTGTCACATGCTAATCACTGATTTGAAACGCAAGCATAACAAATGCCTTCTAATTATGTAATCTTTGGGTCACATCCTTGCATGCCCATGCGGTAATCAGGGCTGTGTGCTGGGATGATACTGACTTTTTTTTCCTCTTTAATTAGAATTGCACACTGCTGTGAAGGGAGGGTGAGAAGCCTTGAGAAGCGATGGGCAGAGGGGGCCACGTGGTGGGAGCTGATGTGATGTCTCTGATACTTCCCTGAGCTCCAGTGCTCTTAAGTACCTCCTCAAGTACCAAACCAGGCATCCTGCAGCTGGGGACAGGGTGATGGGAGCAGCTCCTCCCCTCTTTCTCTGACACCCTCAGCCTCCTACCATGCATGGCCTCATGAGGGATGCCAGGGCCGAAGGGCGCCCTTTCTTTCATTCAGGGGCAAGGGAAAGGTTGCCAAAGTAGCAGCTCTTAGCATTTCTGTACTTTCTGTTGCTTGTTGGATCATGAAAAATCTCCTTTGAGTAAAAATAAATAAGATCTTGGAGTGAGGTGAGAGAGTGGGAGGGAGCAGCTTTCCACAACCTGCTCTGTTTCTTCACTAAGGTCCTGCAGGACTTTTTGCTCCAAAGAGCATCAAGAAAGCAGAGGAGAATGCAGGTAACACAAGGCCGTGGGTGTCAGGAAAAGGTTTGAAGAATCCAGTGAGATACTCCAAAGCATAAGTGCAGGGAGACATAAAGGAGGCACAGTAACAAAAGCCAAACTGATTTCTCCCTGAAAGGCAAAGCTCTGCTTCACGGTATCTTTCAGGCAGAAAACCTGAGATGTAAAAAACTAAAATCAGTGTAATTGCTGTGGAGGACAGGCTCACAGGTTAACGCTGTGTGGAAGATGCTGCTACCTCTGAAGACAAGGACTACGGACAGGGATGCTGTATTTCTTTTTTTGAACTGTCCATTTTAGGAACAAAACACAATAAAACTGAACAAAATAAAATGACAATTCTGAAGGATTTTGCTGGGAAGTGCTTTTTTATTGTGATTTCAACAAACAGCTCAAGCTCGGAAAGATTTATAAAATAAATAAAAACATTTAGCTTCACAAATCTGTGAACAAAACATTTCAAATAGAGATTTTCCTGCAGGCAGCTTTAAGACAAAGGACTGAAAAATGTTATATTGCCAAATGATCCATGAGCCATTTTATTTCAGACGGCCCAGTATGTTCCAGTCTGTTGATAATGTGCTTCGTTTTATTTTGCTAATAAATCACAAGGCCCAACATTTTTCCTAATCCTAGAAAAATTAGTTGAGTATTTCAGAGCACTGCTGAAGGAACGGTATTTATACACTGTGTCTGCAAATTGAGGCAAGGACAGGTATTTACTAGAACTCCCTTAAATATCTGGCAAGCAAACACTCAACGGACATTTTTCCCTGACAACACTGGTATGTTGAGTTGGGTTTTTAATAAACTAGAAAGCAAGTTTTCTGCTTTGTAAAGCAAAGTTTTCAGATTCATAGTGCAGAGACCTTTGATGATGAAACCCAAACAAAAATAAAATGGGGATTTCATTGCATTAGATTTTCTGATCAGACAGAGACAGTGATTGGTCTCCCCTGTGCATTCTCCTGTCTACTTCCCTTCCCCATAGCAGAGGTCTGTTCTTGAGCAGTCTGGTATCAGAGCCTGGGGTTTATGGGTCTTGACCTGTGAGGAGTAATTACCACATTCCAGCTGCACTTGTTCTCTGCCCTGACCCTACTATGCAGCATCTGGCTCAAGGTAAACATGATCATAGGAGCACTGTATTTGCAGAAGCTTCTGTGGGTGGTGAAGTTTGTTTTCTGGAGAAAGTTATAAAAGTTGAGTATAAATTAGGTGCTGTTTTTCGATGACAGGTTTTTTCTTTGAAAGACATTCCTAGGACAAGTTAAACAGCCTCAGTGGTTATTTGTAATAAATACATGAAGAAATCAATGCCTGTTGAAAACTGGTCACAGCTGTTGAGCCCAGAATGCAATTCATGGCTTGACTTTGCAAACAACGATTTGGGAAGGGCTTTACCCACGCTTACTACAAGCGCGCTGATGACTAAAAAGGCCAATGTGAGATAGGGAAATCCTGCTGCAAAAAGCACAGTGAAAGGTCTTCTTGGGTGGCACAGGTGGGGCGCGATTCTTTCTACATTGTCTTTTCTCCTCGAGACTAGTTCTGCGTGAGTTCTCAAAGGAGACAACAGCGTTATGTATGGTGTGTCTCCAAGTCTCCCGATTGGAGGCCAAGGTGGACCACTGATGGTAGTCAATATGGCCAAGGTTAAGGTAGTGTTTCAGAGAGTCCTTATACCACCTCTTTGGAGCACTTCTCTGTGGCAGCTGCTGGCAAGTTCAGTGTAAAACACAGTCTTAGGGAGGCAGTGATCCTCCATCCTGGAGACGTGCCCTGCCCAGTGCAGCTGCAGTTTCAGCAATATGGCCTCGATACTGGTGACCCCTGCCTGTTCGAGGACAGCGACATTTGACGCATAGTCAGTCCAATGGATGTTTAGAATTGTACAGAGGCAGCGTTGATGGAAGCATTCAAGGAGTCGCAGGTGATGGCAGTAGATAACCCATGATTCAGACCCCTATAAAAGAGTAGGCAGTACAATGGCTCTATAGACACTGATCTTTGTACTTTTCTTCAGGTGTCTATTGCACCAGACTCTTTTATGGAGTTTTCCGAAGGCTCTGCATGCCTTTGCTATTCTGTTATCTATCTCTTTGTTGATCATGGCATCCAAGGAAATAAGGCTTCCCAGATAGCTGAACTGCTGAACTGACTTAAGCTCTGACTTGCTAATGGTAATGTGGGGATGATGGTAATCTTCTCGTGGTGCAGGTTGGTAGGGAACTACTGTCTTCTTCAAGCTGACTTCCAGCCCGAAAAGCTCAGCCACCTCCGCAAAGCAAGATATTAAACTCTGCAGAGCTGCTTCTGTGTGGGCAACAAGGGCAGCATCATCAGCAAAAAGCAGTTCATGGGCAAGATGATTTAGGGTCTTAGTGTGGGCCTTCAGTCGCCTTAGATTGAATAGGCTCCCATCAGTACGATATCAAATATAAATGCATTTTGTTCGTCGAGGTCTACTGTAGCCCTTTGGAGCATCATGCTGAAGAAGATTGTGAATAAAGTCGGTGCGAGAACACAACCTTGTTTCACACCATTGGTTATTGGGAAAGGCTCAGAGAGTGCATCGCCATACCTGACTTGGCCTTGCTGATCCTCATGTAACAGAATAATCATTCTGAGGAACTTGGGGGGACAACCTAATCGTTCCAAGATCAGCCACAGGCCTTTCCTGCTCACAGTGTCAAAAGCTTTGGTGAGGTCAACGAAAGTTACACAGAGCCCCTTATTCTGCTCTCTACACTTTTCTTGCAGTTGTCTGAGAACAAATACCATGTCTGTGGTACTTCTATTAGCTCTGAAACCACACTGACTTTCAGGTAGAAGTTCTGCGATAGCGGGTACTAACCTGTTCAATAGTATTCTTGCAATATTTTTTCCAGCAATGGAGAGCAGAGTTATACCTTGGTATCCTGAGCAGTCTGACTTTACACCTTTTTTCTTATATGGAGTGATGATGATTGCATCACGAAAATCTGATGGTAGTTTACCTTGCTCCCAACAGCACACAACTAGCTCATGAAATTTAGCATGAAGTGCTTGGCCTCCATGCTTCCAGATTTCAGGTGGGACTCCATCAACCCCAGCTGCCTTGCCAGTTTTCACCTGCTGTATAGCCTTAAGAGTCTCTTCCATGGTAGGGGCTAAATCCACTTCATTTTTTACCGGATGTTGTAGAATGTGCTGGATTCCTTCACCTTGGACTACACAGTTAGCACTAAAGAGTGTTTGAATATGTTCAGACCAACGATTCAGGATGGAGATTTTATCTGTAAGAAGCGTTTGGCCATCTGCACTAAGTAAGGGGCTTTGAACCTGAAATGTGGGTCCATACACTGCCTTCAGAGCCTCATAGAATCCTCTGTGGTCACCCAGATCTGCACATAATTGAGTCTTTTCTGCTAGGTTGAGCCACCACTTGTTCTGGATGTCTCGAAGTTTCTGTTGGAGTTTACTGCAATCAAGACGAAAGGCTAATTTTCTTACATGGTAAAGTGGCTGAGCGAGGTGGGCTTGATGGGCAGATCTCTTCTTTGTCGGCAATTGCTGGACCTCCTGATTGTTATTGTCAAACCAGTCTTTGTTTTTCTTTAAGGAGAACCCAAAGGATTCTTCGGAGGACTGCAGGATGCTATTTTTAATATGTTGCCAAAGCGCTTCAGGAGAAGAATCTATAAGCTGGTCTTGAAGCCTAGTTTGAAGGTTGGCCTGAAAGCTGTCCCTCGCTGCAGCCATTTGGAGATTATTAACATTGAGCCTCCTCCTCTGAATGCCGCCCCTCTTAGATTTGGGCTTGAAGTGGAAATTAAGTTTGCAACGCACAAGGCAGTGGTCTGTCTGACATTCTGCACTAGGCATCACTCGGGTGTGACAGACATTGCGAACATTTCTCTGGTGCACTAAGACATAATCAATAAGGTGCCAATGTTTAGATCAAGGATGCATCCAGGTTGTCTTCCGGCTGTCTTTCTGCTGGAAAATAGTGTTGGTGATGGTAAGCTGTTGCTCTACACAGAACTCTAGTAAGAGGCGATCATTATCATTGCAGCTGCCAACACCGTGCTTGCCTAGTACTGCTTTCCAGGCTTCAAAGTTCTTACCTACTCGGGCATTGAAGTCACTAAGGATCTTATCTTCTATAGGAACCTTTTGAGTGAGGTAATGCAGGTCGGAGTAGAATTTTACTTTTTGTGCAGGGTCAGCTTGCAGAGTTGGAGCATATATGCTTATTGTGTAGTGGAAGATGTAGGGAGATAATACGATCGGAATGACCTATTGGCAAATTTTCAAGTTTAGAGGCTATGGAGTTTTTAATCATGAAGCCAACTCCAGAAAGATGACTTTCAGTTTTGGGTTTGCCTGACCAGTAGAGTGTATAGCCAGCACCATGTTCTTTAAGGCTACCTTCCTCATGAAGACGAACTTCACTGAGAGCAGCAATATCAATGTTAAGTTGTGACAATTCGTGGGTAATCAGCGCAGAACGGCACTCAGGATGCCCACTGTTCACTGTATCAAGCATGGTTCTGATGTTCCAACATGCGAGTGTCAATCTGGACACACCTTTGGAGGCAGGTGTATGCCTTTGTCTCTTTGTCTTTAATCGACCGCAACAGAAGATGCCCGTTGGCCGCGGCTAGCCAACCAGGTGGAGGGGGAGATGAGCTTTGGTTAGGCCACCTTTTCTAGGCCTCTCTCCATATGGAGCAAGCAGTGTTGTCCTTGAAAAAGGCTGCTTGGTCATTCAGGATGCTGCCGAACAAGACTGTCATCTCCTGGGTCAGTCTCGAGCAACCAATGTCCCGAATTGCCTGCATGCAGGGTTGGGCCTGCGACTTCCAGTGCACCTTATCACCTGCTGTTTCGTCCCTTGCCTGTCGCTACAGGGCTTTGCAAGTGTGGGTAAACCCTTTGGGCCTGCACAGTGGATTTTTTAGGTGAAGCTAACTGGTGCGCAGAACTGGCCCCACTCTTTACACCTGAGGTTTATCTGCCAGGGCCTAGCGAGCTTGGATGGTGACAGCAAAGTCCTCAGGTCATAGGTTTGATTACAATGTCCTTGTCTTAGATGGATGGCCTTACAGGGCTATACAAGCTCCATCTGCCCAGGTTTGAAGTTAGAGTTGTCCTTCTCCTAGGATGGTTGCCTGAAGGCTAGTGAGCCCATCCTGCCCATGGACACACTTTGACCCTTCAGTTGAGACCTGTCTGGCATGGGAGACCCTACCAGAGAGGCATGTGCCACCAC